GCATGGGCCTCCAAGCAACAACTTGTGGTAGTGTTTTCTAACATAGAAGCCAAGTACATTGCACTCACTACTTTTAGCAGGGAACTAGTCTAAGCTCAAGGGCTGCTTGCTGAGTTGAGATGGCCATACTCATTCTCCAACAGTTGCAAGCTGTGTGAAGAAGCCCTAGAGCTTGGCAATATAAATCTATATAATACCATTTTCCTCTACCCTAAGGGAGTCTATTTGTGAATGGATGTTGAAGATATCCATCTCACTCTTGGTGCTGTAGGTACTCAAACATTTCCAGAGTGCTGCAAAAATGAATTTGGGAATTAATGAAGTAGCAACAGGCACATTGCAATGCTCCTTCTAGTCTTGGAATCCAGTCATGCACCTCAACAATGCTAGAGCCCCAGCTCTGTCCTATCTACAACCCCCAATAAACCATGAAACAAGAGGTAGGATTCAAAATGGACCTTGAATCCCTCAAAACCTTCTTCATCAAACTTGCAGATGGATGGTTTTCCTTCCATAGCACTATCCCAACTCCAATACCATGAGATAAATTGGGATTAAGCACACTACACTAATGGACACAACAGAAAGCCCTAATGTATGACATCTTCAAGATGACTTGGAAGGTATCCTAAATTCTTCCCTTTTGGAATGCAATACCTTTAGCATTGGGCTGTTAGATTAACCCATTCCAAAAGCTTAGATTATGCGAAACCAACAATGCACCAGCTCCAACAAGGTGAAGAACATGCTGCTGTCATCTAGGCATTGAGAACATGCCTTGATTGACTATACAATCCAGCTTGAAGAAGAACAAAAACAGAGAGATCAAAAGCTAAAGTTATGGATAAAATGCAGGCACAAACTGAGTTTTATATCTATGTTTTTATATTAAGAAGACCTTATGATTTTACTTCACATATAGAGAATTACAAAATGGTGTACATGCAAGCTAATGTGTCTACTTCTATGTTCTATAACTAGAGAAAGTTAGCCCAAGAACGACCTAGTGTTGTTGGCTCAAGATAACTCAAATAATGGAAGAAGTGTATGTAGAGCAAGAGTAAGATCTTGATGCACACAATTAGGTATTGGAAGAAGAGCAAGAATTAGAGCAATAGACCTTAGGATCAGTCAGGAATTGGTAGGATTAGAGGTTAGGAAGGGTGGTGTGCTTCTAATATAAAAGTTTTTAGTCAAGTAGAACTATAACATCAATATTCTTGACATTGTCAATGCTTGTAGTCTTTTCTATGTTGTTCAACATACATCCTCAATGATTTCTAAAGGCAAAAGGGGGAACTATAAATATAAAATTGAGAACAAAAATATATATTATCATAAAATGGAAAGTTTTATATTAGTATAAATATGAATTAATTTTTAATAAATAACTTTTTCCACAAATAGAAATCAAATTAGTATAAGAAATTTTTAATAATACCAAACTATACTAACAAACAAAAACACAAGTTCTATCATCACAACATACAGAAAATATTGGCCAACATGCATGATATTGTGGAAGACATGGCACTGAAAGAATATAACTATAAAAATGAATTAGAAAAAGTTTAAATATAATTTACCTGTTCTAGATATAGTATTATTAAATAAATCACGGGATTGTGTAACTATTAAATATGCTAGAAGTAGTAATATAATTAAAAATTTTGAACTACCCATAACTTGATATATTGAGCCCCAAAATATCAATTTTATATCTAGATAAATGAATAAATACATTGGAAATCACATATTAACATTGAGTGCAAATTGAATAAACTATAATGAAACATTTGGTATAATAAGATAAAATATTCGTAAAAGAAAAAACACTCTTTTAAATAAAATAATAAAAATAAAAAATAATTATGGCTACAAACTAATAAATGAAGTATTATTTAGTATTAATATAATTTAAAGAAATCAGTGGCTGGCGTTCTTGCACTGCTTGTGACGCACTGTTATAGCGTGGAAGCAATGGTGTGCGCTAGCAACATCTAACGAATGTAGGTGGATCGGGGAGTCATCCATGATGAGAAAGAAGAGCAACGTTGATGCCTTGGCATACTCGACCGATGCTCGCCCTCGCTTCTCCAGGATCTCGTCCACTGCCCCGGCTCTCCCTGCCGCCAGCGCTGCCTGATAGATTATCTCCGCCGCATCTGGCAGCGCCTGATCCGAGCTCCTGTCGAGATTCGCCGCTACGGCCTCGGCTTCGTCCAGGGCGGCCGAGAAATCCTCCAAGAGCTGGGGCGTGGTGGCAATGCTCAAGGCGCGCTTGAGCGATCCAAGCGCGGCGAGGCAGAGCGAGAGGGATTCAAGCTTCTTACTGTCTTGTAGCTTGAATCTTGCCACTTCGCCGAGCAATTTGGCGCAGATTCGCAGGGTTTCGCTGCGCTCCAGATCTTCCTTGCTCGAATTCTTGCTCGGTGGATGCGCACGCGGCGGCGGCGGTGCTGGCTTTGGAATCGGGCAGTGAGGATGCTTGTTCTTTGAAGAGCTGGGGCTAGACACCATCACATACTCTCTGGCAATCCTCTCTTCAATCGAGTCCATCAGTGGATTCCTCCCTCTCACAGGCCGCTGGCGATCCCCGGGGATCGTCTCCAGTGGCCTTGGCGCTCGGTGTAAGATCGCAACGCTGTCGGCTTTTAATTCATCGCAAACCAGTGCAGCTTTGCTCGATCCTCGCAGGAACTTGTGATTGAAGAACTCCTCGAAAGATATCCTCTCCAAGGGATTCTTCCTCAGCAGCCCCTCGCAAAGATCGCGGCAATCCGGATCCCAGCAATCCTCTCCTCGAAACTGGACCTTGTTCCCGAGCTTGCGGAAGAGATCTTCGCTACTGCAGGCCTCGAACGGCCTCCGCCCAGTGATCATCTGGTAGAGCATCACCCCGACGCTCCAGAGATCGGCCTTGGCGTCATACTTGTTGTGCGAGATCACTTCCGGGGCCATGTAGAGATACGTTCCACACATCGTTTGCGCCATTCCTTGCGGCTGGAGCTTCCTCGCCAGCCCAAAATCCGTGAGCTTCACCACGATCTCTTCTCCCTCTGGATCTGACCCCGGCGCGACCTTGTTCTTGAGCAGGAGATTGTGGGGCTTGAGGTCCCGGTGGATCAAGTTCATCCTCCGGAGCTCTTGGAGCGCCGCCGATAGCTGGAGCATGATCGTCCTCGCGACCCCAGCGCTGAGCTTCTTGTTGAGGTGAATGTAGTGATCCAGATCGCCACCCTCGCAGAACTCCATCACCAGGTACCTCGTGGAGAGCTCGTCGTGCTCATCCTCGCTGATCATCCCCAGGAGCTTGACGACGTTTGGATGTGCGATCGATTTCATGATGGCTTGCTCCTGCGCGATCAGTTCCAGCTGCTGGCGGAGCTGATCCATCCGCGGGACGATCACCTTGATCGCGACGATCTCGCCAGTGATCTTGTGCATAGCTTTCCATACCGTGGCAAACGATCCAACGCCGATCTTGTGAAGCAACCGATATTCTCCCACGTCTTCCATAAACCCTAGACGTGGTCTAAAGGGTTCTAGGGGGGTTTATATCTCGGCCTTTGAAAAAGGGGGTCTCGGGCTCGAATCTAGGTCAAACCAATGCCGCTCTTGCGCGATCTTGTCCAGCACCGCCAATGGTACGCAAAGGTCGCCATCGTCTCGGCGATTTTCGGCGCGGCGATCGAGGGTTTCATGATCAAGACGGGCTTCTGTAAGTACCCCGCATCCATCCCTTGCTGCTCGAATCGGATTCCGGATTGTTGAGAGGAATTTGCGCTCCAGATGACAAGGTGACCCTGATCGAGGCGCAGCGGCGCGCGGAGCTCCACCAAGCGCTGCGGGAGGGCGGCCAGCAGCAGCTGAGCTACCAGGAATTTAAATCCCTGCTCAATGAGAGATTTGGGGGATCCTCGTCGTGAAAATTTAGGGTTCCTGATGGCGTGAGAGAAAGAGAAACATGTGTCTATGCCCATGGCGGCGGCGCCACGTGGGTCCCACCCGTAGGCTGGTTGGCGCCGTATCTAGGCGGCTAGAAGTTTCTCTCTAAAACGCCCCCCGGCATTCAAAACGACGACCGTACACGACCGCCACCACACAAACGTGCCGTACGGGCGGGAGGTTTAAGGTTTAGGGCGATGGCTCAAACGGCACGGACAGCTCCGGGTTTGGGTTAATGTGGCCAATTTAGGCCATCCCCCTTTTTTATTTCCCTCGCCGCGATAGATCGATCGATCGATCCTAGATAGGGAAGCGCGATTCTTGGCCGGCCAGCAGCGGGATCGTCGATCGCGCCAGCGGCGCCATGCATTCATCCGCAGCATCGTCATCCAGCTTTTCTCGCGACGATCTTGGGAGCCGAGGTCTCGATTACGCGCTGCTGGATCCCGGCAAGAACGGCACGGCGCCGCTGATCATGTCCAGGGATTTCCAGATCGCAGCCGACCGCGACGACGACGGCGCAATGTACACTAGCGCGATGGGAGCGGCGCCTTTCGTGTACGATCACCACCAGGCGGCAGCGGCGTGGCATCAGCATCACCTGGTAAACAATTCCTCCTTCCTAGAATACGATCGCAGCAATCGGTTCCAGCAAGACGCTGTGGATGACGATAATCTCGACATGGTAGCGCTCTTCCAGCAGCGGCTTCTTCTCCAGCAACAGATTGCCGAGGAGAGGGCTCGCCAGAGGCAGCAGCAGCAAAAGCTGATGATCGACGCCGCCTTCTACGCTGGGCAGCAGCACGGTGATCAGTTCTATGGCAATCCAGGGGCAGCAGGAGGATTCTACTCTCACCATCGCGCCAATGGCGGTGGCGGTGTAAGATATTCTTCGCTGGAGAATCCTCTTGCCAGGCAGGTACAGCAATTGGCAGCGCTCCGGAATTTTTGGTGCTCGTCCGAGCAGCGTTACCAGGAAGCACTTCAAGCGTCAGGGAATCTGGAGGGGTCTCCTCGCTCCGGAGCTGGCAGCAATAGGAATGTGTGTCGGTTCTACTTACAGGGAGTTTGTAGCCGGGGAGAGAACTGCCCGTTTCTTCACACCACGGCCAGGGATCAACCTTCTTCGCTGGCTGCGTCCATGGCGGAGAGATCGCTCTCGGGCAGGAAAGCGCCGTCGATTAAGGGGTTGTCCAACTCGTTTGCGTCGATGAGTTTGGCCCGGAGGAAGGTTGCCCGTGACGATGAGACGAGCAGTGAGAAGCGCTCGGCGAGCACCGAGTCGCAGGAGAGTGATCTTAGCGGGGAATTCAGGGGGCTCTACGATTCGACGCAACAGCAGCAGCAGAAGTTTACGTCGCTGGAGGAGATTGAGGGGCGGATTTACGAGACCGCCAAGGATCAGCACGGCTGCCGGTTCTTGCAGAAGAAGTTTAGTGAGGGGAGTTTGGAGGAGATTGACAAGATCTTTGCGGAGGTGATTGATCACCTTGTAGACTTGATGACTGACCCTTTCGGGAACTACCTCGTCCAAAAACTCCTGGAGGTTTCCAACGACACGCAGCGCAGGGAGATTTTGCGTGTCGTCACCAGAAACGGGGAGCTCGTCAACATCTCCTTGAATATGCACGGGTATGATGTTGAGAGACCGAGAGAAAAAGGAAGAAAATAGAGAATTTTTCATGACTGACTGACTGTGTTTCTTCCTTTTTTTTCTTTTCCAATCACTAACTCTTGTGTCTGTTGCTGTTTGCAGTACACGTGCTGTTCAAAAACTGATAGAGACACTCAAGTCGCCAGAGCAAGTTTCCATGGTGACAAGCTCGCTCATGCAAGGCGTAGTGACTCTTATCAAGGATTCTAATGGAAATCACGTCGTCCAGAAATGCTTGCAAAAGCTCAGTAACGAAGATATCCAGGTACGAGCAGTGCCAAAGATTTCTCGTTTTCGTTGACAACTCTCTGATCGCAGTTTATTATTGATGCGGCGGCACGGCACTGTGTGGATATTGGTACACACAGGCATGGCTGCTGCGTACTCCAGCGCTGTATTGACTTTGCCTCGGGAACACAGTGCCATTTTCTTGTTTCCGAGATCGCCGCAAATGCTCTGATTCTTTCGCAAGACCAATACGGGTACAGCACTTACACTTGGGGTTTTGCCTTAACTTTAAACGCCGTCCTTTCCCTTTTGCAGTAACTATGTCGTTCAGTACATCCTCGACCTCGAACAATCTTGGATAACTCTGGACGTCATCTACAGGCTGGAAGGGAACTTCGCGTTGCTCGCCATGCAAAAGTTTAGCAGCAATGTCGTGGAGAAGTGCCTCAAGCAGTCGTCCGAGGACTCGCGCGCTCTGATCATTCGCGAGATCATCACCAGCTCCCTGCTGAGCCAGCTGCTCCAGGATCCTTTTGCGAACTACGTCATCCAGTGTGCTCTCTCTGTCGCAAAGGTACCTCAAAGAAAAAAGCGATTTTTGCTCCATCTCGTGCTTGGAAACGTTTGCAGGGATCTTTACACACGGCGTTAGTGGACGCTATTCGCCCACACGTTCCAGTGCTACGCAGCAGCCCTTTCGGGAAGCGCATTCTTTCCCGGGCTAACATCAACAAGAGGTGAGAGCAAAGCTCGGGGGCTTTGCTACTTCGCGCGCGAGGTGCATTACAAACGCTCTCACTCAGCTCTAGTCTTTCTTTCCTCTTTCACTTTGGAGTCGGGCATGTATAATCAGTCACAGGCCGCACATCTGACACACAAAAGTTGCTACATTCGAAGCTATGGAAGGAAAAAACATCCCAAAAAAAACACGAGGAGGTCCAAGTAACAGTATTTGTACCAAGTTTTATATAAGATCACACGGGGATGGGGCGGGGGCTTGTATGAACAATACTTATTACTATTATTATTACAGGAGGAGGGGAAGGGGAAGATCATGTAGAACAGGCATAATTTTCCATCGTCGTTCGTTGTTGTTGTCAATCAATTCAATCAATCAATCAAAAACATATAATGGATCAATTCTGGTCGTCGTCGCGGACGTGCACGAATGTGCTCCCTCTGTTCCCTCTGCTAATTCTCATCCTCTTGTCCAGATACCTGAAAGAAAAAAAAAGGTCGTGACGGAATGTACGTCAAAGAGACAGAATATGCCGCGGGTGATGGCAGAATATTTGTCTAGGTGACAGAATATGCTCACGTCAGCTCTACGTAGCCGGCGCCTTCGATGTTGAGAGGAACCGAAACCGATCCGCCCAACAGCTGTACGGCCGCTCCTTGTATCCGTACATGACGCCGCGTTTTAGAGGTGGCTCTGGATTTAGCACGTTAATGGTAATTTAATCGCAATTATGAATGGAAGACAAAGTGCTTACTCTGACGTTGCTCTGGCTTTCAGGCTCAGAAATCCGGGCAGCAGCTCCACCAGATTTTCGAGATCGCCGCTTGCTGCTTTAACAATCTGCAGCACATTCTTTTATGTAAATATGTATGGATCTTTGTACCTATAGATCTTTTCGTCTTCTTATATTAGCATCAACACTTAAACTTACTTGCCAGCTCGGGAGGCCCGACGTGAGTTTTTGCAGCCAGTTTGCGTCGCTGCCCTGTTACAAAACTTGCCAAGTATTTTAGAAAAGGTGTGAAAGTAATTTGTGAGTTACTTGCGAGCTCCAAACTAGTTTCCACTTCCCTGCCAATGCGTCCAGTTCTGCCGGGGACTCCGTCGAGTTGAGCTCAACCAGCTCTTCAATCACCTTCAAGATCAAACAAGTATGAGTCTTGAAAGAAACTAAGATCTCGTTTCTTAGACCTTTTCGACGTCCTTTTTGGAGGATATAGCTGCAAGCAGCCGCTGTCGGGGGTCCAAGGTCTTTTGCAGGACAAAGGTTGTCCCCTGGAGAAACCAATGTGATAGTGATATACTAATCGTCTAATTGTGTACCTTGTTGCCTCTTGAGATTCGAATATTTCCAGAGGGAGAGAGATAAGTTGTGTCGAGCCATCCTTTGGCCTCGTCACCCAGCAAACGGAAAGGAACCGGGTATGGAACTTTGAATGGAAGGAACGAGAAAGAGAATGCGGCCCGGTCGAAACGAAAGTTGATCCTTTTGGAGCTAGCAACTGAGGCTTCGGCCTGGAAGATTTCTCCAAAGTTAAAGAAACGAGCAGACTATGTTTGCTTACCTCCACTTTGAGCTCACCAATTTTCTCAGAAAACTTTACAATGTTTGACACTCTTTGATCGCTGCGATCGCTGAGTTTGATGTCTTGGAAAACTGTAAATGCATCCACTCCCACAAAAGTCCTCTACAAAAAAGTCCAGGCAGTGAATAAAATGAACGAATGGTTGTAGTAGAAGGTTTAACTTGAATCGGGGATGCAGTGCTGGGCCTTGTTGTGTACATTAATCTCCATACGCCTTCGATCAACTCCGACTTTGTCTTCACAAATCGAATCTTCAAAATCTCACTCTTTCCTTTGAATCACTCACAGGTTCTTCGATGCCTCCTTCCGACTCAAGTGCTGTCACAGCATTCGCAATTGCCTGGAAAAATAAATACAATATAATATAAATATAGAAAATGGTTTCTGGTAAAACAATGAAATTCACCTTGAGTTGTTCTTGGCTGGCACTCCGGCCTCGCCCTCCAACTCCAACCAACGCATCAATCAGGGCCTCCTCGCCAGTAGCTGCTGCTGCTACTACCAAAGAAATCTTAAATCTTCTCAAACGAGACAATGGCCATGGTCGATTCTTCAAAGAAGCACAAACTCCTCCTCCATCTCTCCACAGCCTTGCTCTCTCAATCCCACACACACCACTTTGCGCCATAGCAGCAAGCAACTTCCTCCACACAAAAGCATACAACGCAAAATATCTCTTTTTGATTGATTTACAGACGATATCATGGTTTGTACAATATACTATCGTGTTACTCGTCGATATATATCGTGTCTTGCTTGAACAATCCTCCCAGCACACTCTTCTTTCCTGCCGAGCTTTGGGCCTTGCTCGTCTCTCTCGGAGCCTTCGTCCTCATCGCTGGCGGTGGTGGCGGTGGTGGCGATCGTCTCTTTGGAGGACTTGGGGTCTTCGTTTTGGTAGAAGGAACTTTCTTTGCTGGCGATGGAGTCTCGGCTGATGATGCTGTGTCCTTGCTCCTCGTAAACAAGTTTCCCAGACCAAACTTTGGCTTCTCTTCTTCCTCCTCCTGACTCTCTTCTTCTTTCTTGGCAGCCACTGTGCCTCTCTTGAAGAAACCACCAAAGCCATTCTGGGATGTCCCGCTGCTCTCCACATCTTCTTCTTCCTCGGCCGGAGGACCAGCCATGCCTCGCTTGAAGAAACCGCCGAAGCCATTCTGCGATGTCTCGCTGATGGAAGCTCCAATATCCTTCATCTTTGCCCCCAGAGCTTCCAGCGACGCTGCCGCGGCCTTGGCTTTGTCTTTGGCTTTTTGAGCGTTGGCAACCGCCTGTGCTTCCTGTTTAGCCAGCTCCTTTGCCTCTTCCTCCAGCTCGTTGGCGAGAGCAGCGGCATCCTTCGCCTCTTCCAGCGCTTTCTTGGCTTCGGCCTCTGCCTGCTCCCGAAGCTGTCTCTGCCGCTCTTCGGCCTCCGCTTTGGCTCGCGCCTCCGCCAATGCAGCTCGTCTTCCATCCTCTGGTATAGCACTGGCAGGGGCGCGGGTTAGAAGAATCATACAGAGGAAGGAAAAGATAACTTGAGCACCTTAGTAGTTCTTCAATGGGTTTGGATGATCCAGGTTCAACAGTGGCAACCTCGACCACCTAAAACGCAAAGCCAAACTTTGTAAGGAACTCCCCTTTTACGTATTACGTGCATGGGAACGGGAACTAACCTTGTTCTCTGCTATGGCAATGTTTGCAAAGATCCCCGCTACAACAGACGCGAGCTGAGACTTCGATACCTGGAACACAAGAAACTCCAATGCGTAAGAAGAGAAAAGGAGCAAGCTGTTTCGATCGGTACCTTTCCCGTGCCTTGGTTATACGTCCCTTCAGACAGCAGCACTACATTCTCTCCGTCGGGGCTGAAATCATCCACACCCTCGGTGGAGCTCACCTTGACAAACGTAAACCTCAGCTCCGTGTCCACAACACTATCGAGCAACGAATCAGTCGAGACTTCTGCACCCTTGCTGAACAACTTACTGAAGAAATCCGTGATCAAGGCCAGCGGACCGCCGCCGCTGCTCGACGCACCGCCAGCCTCGGCCACCACCACAACATGCCCCACCTGTGCTACACTGGCCGCCTCTAGAACTTGGAGGGCATCCTTTGCCGAGACTTTGCCCCGAGGACCATCCTCCGAGGGACCGACCGTCACCACCACCTTGCCTGCGTTCCCTATAGCCTTTGCTATCGACTCTACGTCCTTGAAATCGAATTCCACTGCGTTGATCTTCCGTGCTTCGTCCCTGCTGATCACCTGCGCGCCGGAGAACACTGTGAGAAATCTCCTCCAAGGGATATAAACCAAACTATCTTTCCACTCACCCCATACTGCGTAGCGAACTCCGCGAGCTGCTGGGCGAAGTAGAGATCGCGGACACCTCCACGGACTGTGAATCCACTCCGGAGTAGCTGCTGCGAGACTCGAGCGCCGATCTGACCAGTTGCTCCAGCCACAAACACTGTCTTAGCGTCGGGAGCTCGGCGAAGAAGACCCAGTGACAAAGCGAGCTCTTTCTTGGTTCCACTCTTTACCGGGGGAGAAGATTTGTCCCTCCTGGAGGGGAGATTTAAGAGCTGCGTGCCGAAATTCAGAGCGCCATTCGATGATTCCTGCTCGCCATCGCTGCCTTCCTCGTCTTTGATCTTCTTTCTGGTGCCACCCAAAGGGAATCTCTTGGTGCCGCTGCTGCTGCTGCTGCCATCAATCGCCTTGCCCCGGGCGCATACAATCGTTACGCGCGATTGCCTGTTCTTGGCACTCCGGCCGGGAAATGTGGCCAGGCAGTAGCTCCCATTGCCCGCGCTGCGCAGCGATCCCACTTCCAGCAGCATTGTCGGCGCGAAGAGGGAGCTGTGATATCCTTCCTTACCGGTAGATCCTCAATCCAGACGGGCGCATTGCGTTGGATGACCAGCGTCTCCTCCAGACTGACCTATTCTTCCGCCATGGCGAAGCATATCCGTTTGATTCCTCAAAATATTGCCAATAAGGAACCGCCACGTGGCGTAAAGATAAACTACCACAGCCGTAGATCGCCACACCAATCCTATGGAACAATAAACTTTAAAGTTGCGAATTTGTAAGTAGCTGGAATCTGCGTGATCGAGCACGCCACCGGCAATCCTTTATCCTCGCTCCCAATCCGCAAAACTCCTACACGAATTCAAGAGCACAGCTAGATCCGGCTTGCTAGTCGAGGAATTCGATCGTCAACACTCTCCCAGCCCGTCCCAAGAGATCAACCATGCAAGTGTAATGATCTCTCGAGGGTTCTATCCCAAACTCGCTCCAGCGAACATGCAAACAAAACCACCGTGAAAGTGCCTTGACGCCACCTTGCTACATCTTTCCAAAAACCACGATTTCTGGCAATCACCGTGTTGAGCGTGCATGGCCACCATCCACGTCCAGGAGACACGATCATCCGCTCAAACACTTTCCGGAGACATCCACACTTCTCATAAGTTTCCAAAGACTAAGTCCGTGTCTACGAACGTCAGAGCCGAGTGAAGCAATTATGCCTCATCAAATGGCAAATGCCGAGATCATCACCAACATTTCTCTGCTCCATACTAACTTGTAAAGCCTCCTGGATCGCCCCACACTTGCTATATAGACTTAAGAGTGTGTTTCCAAAATGTGTTTGATCCAATCCAAATGCGGGAACTGGAAACAAGACCATGGAGCCATTTCCCGTCTTTGAGACAACTTAGCTTGTTGCAGAACTCTCCAAAATACACCTGGTATGTCCTTGCTGATTCCTTGATGGCTTCTCAAGATCTGGAGAAGTCGATTGAGCTCCAAACGTTCTCTATACTTGGTAGCTAGAAGAACGTTATGAATGAAACCCCAGCACCAAGAATTTATTCTTTAGAAAGTTTTGCAGGTTGTTTTTTTACGTAGATCCTTGTTTGTGAAAGCGCGGTGGTGGGTTTCCAGAGAGAAAGCCTTAAAATCGAGTCCTCGTTGTGACTGTGTACTCAGTACCATATGTCCTGCTCGATGCACTGCAGCGAAAGTCAAACCGTCGTAAACTTCAGCCCATCGTCCCACCTTAACGTTTGGTTTCTAATGTTTGAAACTTATACTTACTCTTCCTTGGAGTTCCAAGGGACTTAGATAGTGAGATTGAGAGCCCTCACCCATCTTCGAGTGCCTATGGTTGGAATAACACCACCGTTAGGAACAAAAGAAATTAAAATACAAGATATAAAAGACCAAAGCTCCAAATACTCAGGCGGCTGACTAGCTTCGTGTACAAAGGTAGCATGGATTTTCGAATATCTTTAATGCTGTAGATTCGACTGATATAATTGCTGCAAAGGTAATAGAAAAGTTTGGTATAAATAAGCATAGAAGGTGGCCTTACCTGCAGTCTGACCACTCCCATGGATTTAGAACATGTAATATGGCTTGTACGGACTCTGAATCCGTTTGAGTTTTAGAAAGTAAAATTACCTTATTGATGTAGCGTTTTGCTTACTCTCATTCTTCTGCAACATCTTCAAGTCTGGTGTACATATTAATGTTGGCTAACTTACTTTGTCAATACAGTGCAGTAGAGCATAGTACGAGATAACATATAAAAGAGGGGGGGGGGGCGCTCCAACTCTGTGTAGCGTTAATGTGCTTGTAATTGTTAGCTGAATTTAAGATTATGGAATTTGGAAAAACTCCCAATTCCCAATCCCTAATCTCTTTGTCTTTTGGTTAAATGCTCGTGACTAATTTATGATAAGATGTAAGCAATTACTATATTTGGATGGATCCTTGCAATAATGGTATGGTTATATATATATATATATATATAATGGTTATTTATCTTCATCGAGGTGATAAGTTAATCAGCCTTGTCCATTATTCTGCCTAGAGGCTAGTAATCACTTTTGAAGAGGAAAATATAAACTTTTATTGAAAATTCATAAAGAAACATTTTTGGAGTATTGTCAAATATATAGAGTTATCAGCAACTATACTTATCTATTTCACAACAGTAATAAAATTACATATTTGTCAAAAGACTCAAAGGAAGTTTAAGTCAGAGTGAATTGATTAACCAAGTTTAAGAGATTAATTCCTCTCAAGAAATAACAATCCATGTATTACTTTCGCTATACGCTGCAATATCATACTTTTAAAAGATTAATATTGTAGCATATGTGGTTTTTACCCTTTAGCCTATGGTCATTAACCATAGGATAACTACGAAGTGGAACCTAAACCCTCCCTTATGTGCCATATGTCACATGCCACGTGCCATATACCACATGTCCAAGGACAGCAAAATTGAACCTAAGTTTCAAGGCCTTGGGCCACTAAATAAAGGAATGGAGCCAAACTCCTAAGCATGGAGTTAAAGAACAGAGGAACTGGAGCATAAAGTAACTCCTAAGTGTACAACCTAAAAAAAAAAAGGACAAGAGCATCGAGTGACTTGGAATAGTCTTAGAACATCTATCCTAATGCTAGGATCAACATGCAAAACAAAGCCAAATGGAGTTTGGCGCTATTTTAGCATATTAGTGGCATAACGCAAGGATATGAATAATCCATCAATTAGTATGGTGTGGAATTTGGGTTTAAACCCAAGCTTGATGCAAAATAAAGATAGGCACGTAAACAGAAGCTAAATTATGCCTTAGGTTAGTTAGTTATACTCAACTTACCCACTATTTCTACTATACATTTAAAACCCTTTATAACCCCCTTTTGAGGAATGCACACTTTGGGCTTTCTCCCTTAGCCATCCTTAGTACTAAGAGTTAATCTCTGGGACTAACTCAAGACTTAATAAATATGGAATGGTGCTAAATTGTGAATTTGAACACGAGATAAACATTATTATGTTCAAGACAATATCTACATTCCATAGATATACGAAATTAGCAAATTTAGACATTTACTATAAATAGTAATTGGGACCAAATGAAACTAATACAAGGTGTATGATAGTGAGGGTGTTTAGCAGACACAATAAGCTATCATCTAGCGATATTAAAGGATTAGTCTTAATACGCAAGGGTTCTTGTCACTAGCTAGTGCAAGATAGAATAAGACAGTAACTCCTTACTAGGTTAAATATGCTTAGCTAATAGCATGTAGGAATTTTGTCTTTATGCTCGTTTGGTCTAAGTATACTCAAAATGCCTAGTTAACTTCATTAACACAAAAGGGATTGATAAAGGGTTCAGCAATACCAATTTTTTGCCATTGTAATAGAATATCCAAAAGAACTAGTGGACAAATAACTTTCAATACCCAAAGTCACATTTGCAACACTCTCCCCCCAGGGAAGATCGACGTTCTCGTCAATACATACTCTAGTTTAGAATACCGCCAAGGAAATAACTCTAGAAAAAGTTCATGGTATTCATATTTTGTGAGAAATACACCAATTTAAATAAGTTAAGGTAACCTCTCTGTCTAATGCAAATGCACTACACTCAAACACTTTCTGGCCATTGCCGACAAGAAAATGACTAATAGAGTTAGCCACCTTTGCTGCTCTAGGTGTCACCCAGCTTACAAAAGAGTAATAGCCCCTACCCACATATGGCATAGAGAGAGAAGCTAGAGGCCCTAACCCTGTTGAGCAAAGAAACCAAACTTATCAGTAAGGTTTAAATAGATTATAAATAGGTAATTATGATCATGCCCTTTTTAATAAAATAAGGAACATCGAGAGAGAGGTAAGTGATGTGACCAGTCGATAATAGTTAACCCTATAACTAAAGATTTTACCATGCACACAAAGTGTTGAAGCCAATTTGCTTATATTGGCCTAAACCCAAAGATCAATAGATGGACAATATCAAAGTCATAAACAATGATATATTAGAGACTTAAGTATTAGTGAATAAATCTTAGATTAGAACACAAAAGTATTCTAAGTTATTATTTGATAAATGAGAATTATAGTATAGGCCAAGATCATCATAATTGGAAAACTTAGAATTCATCATCCAGCAAATTCAATAGCTAATGTATCATAAAGAAAACTTAATGATAAAATTAACTATTAAATATTGCAAATAGTATATTAAACAACTTATAAAAGACATCTAAAAGAACATAAAGTATCATCGACTGACAAATAAAATACTCACGAATTTATCATCTAAAAGAAATAATATCCAATCTATCAGAACCAACTATAGCAATAGTTAATAGAACAAAATAAACATTGCAAAAACTAACAAACACAATGTTCATGCCAACTATCACACTAACCAATTTGAATAGATCTTGGTCAATAATATGAAGAACTAAAGTTGCTTAAACAAACTTTAGCAACATCCTATCGATGTCTCAAACTCAAGAGACCAATCTAGAGCAAACCACAAAAATATATGGTATTGCGAAAAGCCAAAAGCTATCAATGAGAACAACTAACTATCATGAAAGATCATTAATCATCTTATTATTAGAGACATGCATAATCATCATCAAAGAAATAATCCATTATCCCAAAGTATAGCAAATCATTCATCACCAACAATAACTAGGTAAAACTCTTAACGAGAACAATAAACTATCCCAAGATGATAGTCATCCATTATCAATGATTGCTAGATGCAAATACTACCTTTAACATCGAAGATAATAAACTAAAATACCTTCCCTAACAACTTTTAACAAATGAAACAATGAGTATAAACTCAAAGAACTAAAAGTTTGAAGAAGTTTATAGCCAAGTCTTGCCTAACAATGATCATGAGTCTCATATGAACTAACTTCAATGCTAAAGAAGAAATTATAATACAACATAATATCCTTCTCAACACATCTAAAAACTATACTTCATAATGCCAAAGCTAATGAAAAATATGTTTGCATCAATCCAAAAGTTAAGCACAACGAAGATATGCTTAACAAGTGATCATCAAACGATCCTTTATGAATCCATTTACAACCAAACGTAACTCACTTTGTAACAAACATGAAAAGAATCATCAA